TGTGTGTGTGTGTCAGTGTCTGTGTGTCTCTCTTTGTGACTGTGTCCGTGCTGTGTGTATTATTTTGTTTTTGTTTGTTATGCGTTGTTTTTTTGCAGGTTTGCTTTGGGGGAGTACTGTGCGTTTCGTTCCCGCTGGGTTTGTCTGGCCCGCACCAGGGTTTGTTGTCGTTGGTGGCTCCTGGCCTCTTCGCCTCGCTGTCGTTACACCTGAGCGGGCTAACGGATTTGTTATCTCAGGCATTCCTTAGAGACGTTTACCTCCCAGCAAGTCCGCCTCGCGCTGTCTACAGCGAGCAAGCAGTAGACAGCTGGTGTTGCATCTTCGGCGTCGTCGAGGCCGCCCTGGAATCCTCTCTGCCGCTGCAGTGGTGAGAAGAAGAAAAAAAGAAAGGAAAAAGAAAAAGATGATGATAAAATCAGTTATAATCATTATCATCTTCTTTCTCTTCTTCAGAACATAAGAACACAAATGCACTTAGCTTTCTCTTCCCCTCTTCTTTCTCTCGGCTGCAACTCCTCTCGATGCTCACTATACACCCCAACACCAAACGCCACTGACGGACTCTCCAGCAAACACAAAAACTNTCCTCTCGATGCTCACTATACACCCCAACACCAAACGCCACTGACGGACTCTCCAGCAAACACAAAAACTTGCTGCCTGCTATATCCATGCAGTGCGAGTTGACGTTTACTTCTCTCTATTTGTTTCTGTCTTTTCTTTCTGAACAGTTTCCTTCTCCCTGTGCCTATCCGTTTTGCTGCTGCTACTTCTGCTGTTACTGCTGCTGTCGCTGCTGTTGGTGTTGTTTGTTTAGGCTGATACCTCGTTTGTTGCAGTTTGTCTCTGAGTTGCTGGCTGCGCTGTGCCGGAGTCTGACGGACCCGTGCATCTCTCAGAGCGAAGGGCCGGGCCAGTGGGGCGGCCGTCCGCTGCTGCCGCTGCTGGCGCTGCGGCAGCTGCAGCAGAATTACTTTAGGGGGATGCTGGAAACAGAAGGGCGGAGTGCTGCTGTCTCTGCCTCTCCATTCGTTTCACACTTCCTCGCCCTACAAAAGAATGCAGACGAACGCACAAGAAAACAACGCAGAAAATCAAGGGGGTACAACACTAAACCCAAAACCCTAAACCCTAAACCCTAGACATAAAGTCCGATTGATAGAAATCATGAGCCCTAAAGACGAAACCCTAAACACTTAATTTGCAGGAGTTATCAGTGCAGTGTAATACAATACTTAGTTTCTTCTCCTCGGCAGCAACTGCAGCAGCTGACNGCAGGAGTTATCAGTGCAGTGTAATACAATACTTAGTTTCTTCTCCTCGGCAGCAACTGCAGCAGCTGACAGCCGGCAGGGCTGCGGCGCAGGCAGCAGCAAGAGAGCAACAGAGGCAGCAGACTGTTGAAGTTCATTCTGATCTGTTTACGTACAGATGGAGAGGCCGAATGACACAACTTGTCGCGGGGTGGGAGGAGGAAAAATTACAACAGGGACTGCAGCGGACGGGATCGGCGTACCTATCCGGAGTAGAGGGTGGGTCTTGTCGTTTCTTTTCCTTTGTTGTATTATATTGTATTATATTGTACTGTACTGTATTGTATTGTATTTTCGTGCCGTATCGTGTCTTGTGTTTTCCTTTTTTATCTTGTTTTTTTTTGTCTTGTCCTGTCTTGTATCTGGTTTCGTCTTTTCTGGTCTGTTTTGTGGTTTTCTGTTGCATAGTTGTTGTTATGCCGTGAGTTGTTTCGTCTTTAGTTGTCCTGGAGTGTTTGTGGGGGGCGTACGTTTGCCTTTCTGTCTCTTTTTTCTGTTTTTTTGTAGTATGTTGGGGCTGATGTTGTTGTGTTGCTTACCCCCTTCTCAGACGACAACAGCGGCGACAGCTCCGACGCGCACGAAGGGGCCCCTGAGCAGCCCAGAGGNCCCCCTTCTCAGACGACAACAGCGGCGACAGCTCCGACGCGCACGAAGGGGCCCCTGAGCAGCCCAGAGGGGCCCCTCGGGCACCTCCATCTCGTGCTGTAGTTGATGAGAAGGGCCGTTCGCGTTCCGTCTTTCGTCTTCTCTTCGGCCAGAACGACAACAGCAGGGAATCCTCTGCTCTCCGTGGAGGAGGGGGGCCCCCTGGGCGCACTGACGGGGAGGGTTCAGTTGTTGGGGGTCCCCGTGGAGGCCCACCTCCCCGTGCTCGTGTATTGGGCTTGGATAGACTGTCGCCTGCTGTGTGTCAGCTGCTCTCTGCTGTTGAAACCCTGAATGCCTGGGAGGCGGCGAGGCAGAAGGCGGTGCTGAGCGGAGGCCAGCGGCCCACCAGCGGCCTGCAGCGGTGGCTGGTGCGGCTGCATGTTGCTGCAGTGTACGTACAGCGTCTTCCAGCACTGAAAGAGAAACTGCTGACGGAGCTGCAAAAACGAATTCTCCACAGAGAACAGAAAGACGCGGAGGTGCTTCAGCAATTGCGGCTGCTGCAGACAGGTACTGCTGCAGCAGGGCAGCAGCAAGACGATCCCTTACTGTTGCGGCAGCAGGAAGAACTCGCCGACCTGAGTGCAGCAGTTGATGAAGCAATCGACGGACTCAGTCAAAAATTAAGTGAAACTGCTAAGGAGCTATGCAGGTAGGTACACAAACCAGCAG